GCGGGGGGGGCCCCTCCAATGGCGGATCACGGGTGCCAGTCGGTCAGTCACATGCCACCATGTGCGAGGGAGGAAAAAGCATCAGGTGGAAAACCGCCGCCATTAGGAGGCAGGAAACCAGATAACAAAGGCCAACTGGAGACCACCTCTGGGCGGGCAACATGTCTGGGGCTCTGTTGTAGGACCTGTGGGGCAGACGGGGCTTCTCGGTCTCACTACCAGTCGGGTGGCCCAGGAGGAACGCAGAGGAAGGGGTTGGCCATGTGTATGCACGCAGCGGCCTGGGACACTTGGCTCCAAACAAAATTTTGTTGTGTCAAAATAAAATGTGGCCTCTTTTCACAGATCAGTATAGGTGGGGAGGCAGGAGGGAAGGGTGGTGATTGTCCTGTTGACAAGAATTTAATCCATCTTGTTGACTAGGGAGCAAAGATTTGCCAGGTGAATAGACAGGAGTGGAGACCGGTCCCTCTCTGGCATAGCCTCACTAAGGCGCCCGCTCATTTGCCACGCTGGTGTTTCTTCCAGATCCCGTAGATTGCAGCTGCGCCTCCGATCAGAATGTCCATACAGCATTCTTCGTTCACAAAAATTGGAGAAAGGTAGATTGGTGTGAGTTGTCTGATACTTAACAGTTCTTCTCTGGTAAAAGTAATCCAGGATGAGTTGCAAAAAAACGAGAAAACAAAGAAAAACAACAAACACAAGAGAGCACGAGGAACCAAGGTTGCCATAGTCGGCAAAAATGTGCTATTTAGGCTCTATAGGTAGCTTTTTTTTTTTTTTTTTAAACACTTCTGGAAGTGATATTGAACAGGAAATGGCTAGAGGTAGGCTAAAGCAAGCTATGAAAAAACTATGAACAGAAAGTTAAGTATAATGCACAAGTCAGACTATTGAGATATCCTGCTTAATGAATACAAACCCAAATCAGCCATAATATGAAAGACTGTCCTGCTTGCTACAACAAAGGTTGTACAGATTATACCGTATTAGTTCTTATTTATTGACCTTACACAAATGTTTATGGTATTTACATCACAAATACATCTACACAGAGGTTTAACTTCACTAATACAAGAAATGACATATTTGTTGATCTACAAAGTGTTGGAACACAGACACCTGAAATACACCAACATAAATTGCATATTGTATTTGTTTATACTTTTCCCTGTCATCATACTTTCACACATAAATAGCAGATGAGTTCAAACTGTTTTCTGCTTGGCTCGGTTTCTTGAAATTGCAATTTTTAGAAGACACAACATACTAATGTACATTTCTACTTTAATGGTGAATAACTTTTATATTGGAACTGTTGTCCAGTGCTCACATTATATATGTCAATATTCATTTGGAAAAAATAAAAGATTCATCAGTAATTAATCTTCTCATACACCAAAGATCACTACACACTCAACCTTGATATTACAGAAATGATCTAACCATGATTCAAAGGAAACTAATGTCTGAAAAAAGCAGGAAACAACAGTTTCATGTTACACTCAATAACATTTAAATCGATCACAACACTACAGCTCAGGTATATTCCACATCAGAGCAATTATATCGGTACAATATGCTTGTTTTAAAGAAAGTGCAACTTAACTTTATCAGTTTTTTTTCTTCTTGTCTTGCTTTTTGTAAATATTAACATGAAGACATTGCAGCATGCCCAGTAAATTAGGCAGTTCTTTGTTACAGAAATTTTAATTTAATGTCACTTGTGCTGGCAATAGTATTAGTAATTATTACTATGACTTTTATTGTAAGGACATTGGAGAATTTAATCTGCCAGACAATGCATTGTGTTGTTCAGCTCATAGTTGTGCCAGATGAGGATTTTTCTCAGGAAAAGGGTTGGCTACATGCTGATTGAACATCTTCCACATCAATATATTTTTCTTTTGCTCATATTTTCTACCAGCTACACTGACTTTCTTACTCCAAATGCTGGGTAAAATTGTCTGGGAAAAGTCCTTTTTGAGCACCAGCTCCAAGTCTTAGCCAGTCACTTTCTTTGATCCCTGTGAGCCAGCCAGCATCCTGCAGCAACAAAAAAAAAACATTAACAGCCAGATTTAATGTAAACATCCCATTAATGTCTTTCTTCCAGGATATTTGACTTGAATGTGTCACCAGCTGTCCTCACCTGATCCTCTACTGAAACAGTTGGAACCACCAACACCACATCACCACGCTTCAGTTCAAGCTCATCAGGATTTGCAGCCTCAAAGTCATGCATCGTTTTAACCTATACAAAGAAATACAATATAACCGTGTCCACTGGAAACCCATAGCATATTAACCAGCTATGTAAAAACATAACACATATCAAATGTGAGTTTTTAATCTGCTGTTTCAGAAGTGAGCACTTAGCATATGCAGAAGTCCCACCTTGTACAAAAAGTCATCAGGTAATCCCGACACTCCAACTGATGGACTCATGTGTTTCATGGTATGGTTATCACCTGTCACATCATTATCACTGATGGTGGTGGGAGAGATTATGTCAGCATCACGGTCATCATCACCTTCATTACTGGAGGCAGGTTCAATCACTACGGATGGGATCGGCATCTTTTCCTAAAGGAAAAACAACTTTCAGCTCACACATTGATGTTTCACTTTCACAAACACAAGAAGTAACTGTATACACACACAGATAATTAATTAAACACTTAACAAATCCATGGCTTTTCCTGTGTACGTAGTTACACAGAGTTCTAAACATACCAATGCAAAAGTCAAACATAATTACAAAAATTAAGCAGGCAGTCTTTGAACGAGTCATGCCAAGAAAGGTAGGGCAAAAGAAATCAGTTGCTTTGAACACTAAAGCTGGCCTTACACTAGAAGATTATGATAAGACTCAAAGAAAGACTTTTAAAAGACTAGAATCTGACACCCTCTCACATCTAAAGACAATGCATCATTACTCACTGTTTTTACTCAGATTATGATTTTTCAAAGACTGGGGATCATGCAGCATCACTGTTTGTATAACAAAAACTAGATTTTTCTTGAGACAACTTGCCATATGGTCCTGCATTTGGCCCCTAATACCTAACACTTACCCAGTGTTCATAAAGGGGGTGCAAGTTTTAACTAGCTTATATGTACTTCATTTGAATTACTGCTGTGTAGCTTGTGAATTTTCCACCATAGCTCAGTGAGGTATTATAGTAGATGTTTTGGATTACTATGGTTCTGAAAAGTAACTAACTCAAGTTATAAAATACATACAGTGGAGTAAAAATTACAATAGGTTGCTTCTAAAATGTAGTGAAGTCAAAGTATGAAGTAACAAAAAATTAAAATACTCAAAGTACAGATACTGCAAAATTGTACTCAATGCTTGAATAAATGTACTTAGTTACATTACACCACTATTTAAAACAGATTTTAAATGTGATTAACTGCAAGTTACCTATAGGCAATGATGCGATTAATCACAATATTTTAATTGACAGAACTTTTTTTTCCCTACGGTAGCCTATATCATTGCTATATTTTCTATATTTTCATTTTTCTATAATATTTTACTTAAGAAGAATCAATCTGCTTTATTGGCCAGGTGTGTTGGACACACGAGGAATTTGACTCTGGTACATCGGCTCTCAATGTGCAAACAGTAAAGCAGCATAAGGCTGTGTAATATAACAAAGATAAGCAATATTTACAAGCAACAGAAAGTGCAAACAATGCAGAGTAAACAGTATGAACAGATAGTAACAATGCAGACAACAAAGGGATGTTCTTTGAAATGAGATAAATAGGAATAAAAATAGAGTACTTAAAACAGAGTACTAGAGACCTGTACGAGTCTGTATAATTTGTACAACTATATATACACAGGTATTGCACTGAGGTTTATTGTCCAATCATATGGTCATTGGTTAAGTGTTCACCAGAGTGACAGCCTGGGGGAAGGAACTGTTCCTGTGACTAGTTGTCTTGGTGCACAGTGATCTGTAGTGGCCTCCACAGGGGAGGAGTTCAAACAGATTGTGTCCTGGGTGTGACTATATAAACTATAACTATATTAACTATATAAATGTCTATTGTATTAATTGTGATGCTTGCAAATGTATATATTTGCAACGGGAATGCTAATGCTTTGACAGTACTGTATATATAAGTGGTCATAACATGAACTACAGTCCTGTACAGTGTTACCCTATGAATCTGTAACAGAGCAGCAATAACAGTGTATGTGAATTATATCCAACATTGATTGTCCACCACACAATCATTTTTTCCTCCATTTGGTTTACTTTCCTTAAGGCAGTGAAATGGAGCAGTGAATAGCTCTATGCTTCAGTTTTGTTGGAGTTAAAATGACCGTGATTGGCTCTTACCTATCTGTTGCTCACACTGTGTCAGAGGACATTTGCATAAATGTTCCTCTGTAGTGTAGCTGGATGCTTTATGAATCTGACAAGCTCCGGGGGGTGCAAGGTTGCAAAATCAGGCCTCATTAACAATTAATGGTAGCTGTTACTGGCCCAGCTGTTTGAATCCATATGTGTGACCATACCATAGGAAGTCAGCTTTCTCTCACTATTTCATGCAACACAGACATAGCTGCAACTCTCAAAACTGCAGCTCACATTTGCATTTTCAAGCTATATTCTCCAGAACACAAAAACAAAGTAAATCAATGTTGTGTCACTTGGAGAAAGTGCTAGCATGGAACATGTTTGTGTCATTAATCACATTATTCAACAAACGAGCTCGAAGTACAGAATCAACAATAATTTTAAATTCTAAATATATAGCTTATTTATGCATTGTGTAATCACATGATAACCATAGTAATGAAGATGATGGTGATAATAATGTTGATGATAATGATAATGATCATAAATCACAGCAGTGCCATTAGTATGTTATTCTCATTATGTTTACTCACAGCAGGCTTGTCTTCCTTTGGTGTGCCAGAACTTTCGGTTACATCTTCGTCACCAGCAGGGGGGGCTGCAGATTCCTCCACCACCTCATGTGCAGGAGAAGCTGGATGCTCTTCCACCACTCCTCCAGGAGGGGGAAGTCCTGGTTCTTCAATAACAGGTTTATCTTGCTCCTTTGCAGGTTCTGTCAGGGCAGGATCTTGTATCGCTGAGATTTCAGGAGCCTCAGTTGATTCAGTGTTAATTTCATTCTTTCGCAAAAGGAAACAGTGCTCAATTATTAAACAATTCAAATGTGGCACTTTGGAGGCTGACAGTTTGTATAAAATTCAATATAAGAGCTCTCCCATTTCCAAATAGGCCATTCATGAATACTAAGCCAGTGTTGGTGTCAGGCTGTTTTCCATATGTCAGGTAAAAGTATAAAGTTTCCACCACATAAACTGCATAAATTTGTAAGCTGTCTGTCACATACCTGATAATGTGACAAAATATAATTGACATGGAAAGCAAATGACAGGAACAGAGGTCATATCAGAACTAGATTAGTTTTTACTGTATAAGTAATGTGAATATGTAATGTTCTTTATGCTACATACCACATTTAAACAGTTACTGTTGCAATCAGAACAAAAGTTATCAGAATATATTTCACACACCAAAAACTACTGATCCAAATGAAAAAAGAAAGAATTCTGACAAACATTTCAAAAAACTCAAACAAACAGGGTAAAAGGATAGCATTGTTCAACAGAACAGTAAAAGAAATAAATATGCCATTCAATATCATCTACATATCACTAAATGAAATGCTGATGGCTGTATAATTGAATTTCAAACTCACCATCTTATCAAAGTTGGCAAAAAATGTTGGGGCTGTAGCATCCTTCAGGGCGCATGTGTGACAAATAAAGACAAACTTTATAACTGACGATCAGGACAGAAGAACAAATTTATGCATAAAAAAGAGGGTAAAATATTTAGATATGAGACAAAGAGGTAAGGCATAAGGAGACTGATCATTCAGAGAAGGGATATTAACACAAGAAACATTAAGTGAGGGGACTTGAGGAGGTAGGATGTAAAGAGAACGGAATGTTAAAATACATTACTGACACATTACTAGACAAAAGTCTTCTGAGTTTGATGATGCATACATGCAGTTTGGGCCACCATCTACTTTAATGCTCTTAAAACTATCTGACCTCTGAACTCTGTTTCTGTCATCCAAACTTTGACAAAGGGTTAATTATTTGTAGGGGGGTGTTTCTGCAGATTGTTCTTCTCAAGGAATTGATCCTTCTACATTTACATTGTGCTCGTTACCAGTTTTTATAGGTTGACTAGCAGTTGCAGTAGAAGTGTTCAAATCATTTACTAAAGTAAAAGTACCAATACCACAGTGCAGCAATATTCTGTTAAGTAGAAGTCCTGCATTCTAAATGTTAGTATAAAAATATTAGCATCTACAGCAGACCTGGGCATTTTACGGCCTGCGGACCACATCCAGCCCTTTGGGCGTCCCTGTCCGGCCTGCGTGAGGTCCATCAAATCAGAACATGAATGAAAAAAGTTCACAGGTGAACTTAAGATCCCCGACCTACTGGGTGAGAGACAGGTGATGTTGGCCAGCTAACCCTCAAAATGTCAGCTCACGCCAAAAAAAGAAAAGTTGATGCCGAATGCCACGTTTTCAACAAGACGTGGACTGGAAAGTATTTGTTTACAGAAGTCAAAGGTAAAGCAGTGTGCTTAGTTTGTGGTACACAGGTCGCTGTGTCCAAGGATTACAATTTGAATCACCACTATGTGACCAAACATGAGGAGAAATACAAGAACTTGTCGGATGAAGAGTGCGCAAGAGAGTCGGATGCTTTGCTAGTGAAACTGCATAACCAACAAAGACTTTTTACAAAGCTTTCCACACCCAGAGATGCAGCTTTCAAGACAAGTTATGTCATATCCCACAAAATCACCAGAAAAAGTAAGCCGTTTTCTGACTGACAGCTTATTAAAGAGTGTTTGTTGGACTCTGCAGCACTAATATGCCCGGAGAAAAAGGGCGCATATGAGAACGCGCCCCCTCCCGACGCGCTGTAACGAGGAGGGTTGAGGACATCGCAGGAAACCTTTGGATCCACCTACATATGTGAACAGACATTCTCAGTGATGAAGTTCAACAAATCCAGATTTCAATGCACTTGTTCAAGCCCAAGCCAGACTGGATTTCTCTCACTGAACAAGTAAAATGAACTGAAAATGCAAATCTTTACCATACTGCAAAACACCTTTTTAGTGTTATGTGAAGTTGAAAATAAAATGGAACTGTGATGTAATGTTTGTTTTTACTGTTTATTACTTCTATAGGAGTATTTTCCTGTTTGACCTGCACCACAATTTCATATATTTATATAAATATTTATAGAATATGCTTATTCTTCTGATTACCAGTAGCAGCTAATCAACACATATAATTTACTGCTTTTTACAATGGGAGATAATGAATATTGAGCAGAATCAAGTTATCATTGGTTCGACCCTCCAACACAGTTCAGGTTTCTCATGTGGCCCCTTGTAAAAATGAATTGCCCACCCCTGATCTACAGCATCAATTGTAAATATACTTTAAGTAGCAAAAGTAGTCATTATGCAGAATGGCACATTTCACATTAATGTATATGTTATTATTAGATTCTAATTACTCATGAATTATTGTCACTTTAATGTTGCAGCTGGTAAAGATGGAGCTAATTTTGAATTTCCCACCAGGAGCCAATAAAGTCTTACTCTGACTGCTTTTTATTTTTAGTCATCTGATTCTGAAATGCAACAAGCTATTAAAAGTGTCCAATAAATGTAGGAAAGTTCATTTACCTCTGAAATATATTGAAATGTAGCTGCAAAATATGAAATTACTCGAGCAAAGCATCGATACCTGAAAGTTCTGCTTAAGCATGGTACTTGAGTAAGTGTATGTAGTTACTTTCCACCACTGCTGACTGCGGGATGCGTCTTCTAGTTGTTTAAAAGCATATTTCTCCGAATTGTGTTTGGACACAATGATGTGATCATTTCTCAGTTTGTGATGTATTTAGTTTAACTTTGGTCTGCTCAAAGATGAAACAGAACGTTTTTAAGTAGGAAATTAAACTTTGGCTAATGACTGTTAACTTTAATTGTTGAAAGCTTACAACTTCCAGCCTTAACAGTAAAAGCAACAGCAAAAGATGGAACTCTGGGGACAAAATCTAAATTAAACACTGACAAAAAATGCCATAAATCCAAAAGAACACTTGAATTCATCATTGCAAACTGCAAGGTTTTCAGTGTTTTCTCCTGAAAATGGGTGAAAACCATCCCCATCTGAATGTAACATACAGTAGCTTCTCTTTCTGTTTGGCCAAAAGGATCTGAATCAAACTCACCTCCTCTCAGTGTTTCAGCTGAGGGAATACAATCAAATGCACCTATACTCAGAGTTTCAGAACTTTTTCCTTTCTGACTTTCAGAAAGATTTCTGTGAACTGGTCTGAGATCTCTGTTTTCTGGCCAGCTCTTCTTCAGCTAAGTCATTCCTATTCCTGTCTTTTGTGTCACTGTCTGGTGTCAAACTGGTCTGATTTCACCAATCTGCTGCTACGCCATCAGTTGCACTTCCCCGCCCCTCTGAGGCACTGTGGGATGATCTTCATGCAAAAGCTCATCATCTGCACAAAGATGGACCACTTGTCCCCTTTGTCGTGTGTACTATCCTCAATTTGTTCACCATACTCACTGGTGAATCTAGGTCCTGGTGTATACTTCCTATGGTCTTCTTGCACTGCTATGTCTCCCTATGGATCTACCTGCCCTGTGTCATCTTCATCAATTCTGGCTGCAGTGAGATGACAGTGAAGGTTAGTTTGAGAGCCCCAGTTGCTAACCTTGTCTTCAGCTCCTACAGTTGCATTGCTGTCTGGAAGAGAATTCTCTGTGTCGCCACCTGACTGCCAGTCCTGAGCCCCACTCTGTGCTCCCTCTGGCCCAGCAGGAGGGGCTTCGGTTCCAGAAGCTGAATCTCCACTTGCTGATAATGAACCAAAGTCAGCCGACCAGTCAGCAACAAAACCGACATCTGCAGCCTCCTTGTGAAAAGCGGGGAATGCAGTGTTAGAGTCTAACCTCCTGGCCACGGCATGAAAATGCAGTGTGTTTTCAGACAAAAAAGCGCAGGAGAATCATGTAAGAATCCATTCTGGTTGCATATCAGCAGGCTAATCATGGCTGCCATCCAACATATGGATATACATCTCATTTTGCCCTTTATTATCCCATTGTTTGGAAGAAATCGGTTTCTGTCAATTACTGGGTAAAGTAACTCTTAAAAAGAACAAACACTGCCACCATAGTCACAGTCCTGTTCTCCTGATACTGGTAGAAAAATTATTTCTTCAGTGGTTAGGTAGGTACATATATGAAAATAATTAACCTGCATCAAAATCCCTAAAATACATCTTTAAAGATCAACTGTTCAAGTGTACGTATTCAAGAACAATGTCAACACAAGTAAAGATAATGTTGATCAGTGTTAGCTTTGTGCAAGCAGCACCAAGTAAGATCACAAGTGATATTAAGTGGATAAGCCTGAATATAGCAAAGTACTAAAGAGCGAATATTTGAATATACTAATATACTGCAAAGAAACATTGTCATTGTGAAGACTGAGTCTAAAATTAGACTGGTTCGTCACCAGTGAATTATTATGTTTCAGGTGATAAATAAACAGTGCTGTGTGTTTACTTACCGTCTGAGCTGTTTGGGCATTTGCCTTTAAAAAAAAACAAGATGAAAGATGGTTCATATCTGTAGAGTAACTCATGCTGCTCTGTTATTCATTTATTTTTAGAAATGCATTCACTTATAAAATAAACTTTCTCCTCAGTAATTAGTATAAATTTAAAGGATAGGGCAAATGTTTCTTTAAAGAGCTTTAAATACAGACTTTACTCACCGACCATACATCCCAAGGTACAGCTGTCTGAAAGGGGCAGAGCACATGTTAATGTGCCCAACAATGGAAATACAAATACAGTTTATACAGATTAATATCAATAATATATTCATATTAACAGAAACATATCAACTCACAAGCAAGGAACTGCCCTTGCTGAATGTGATTGCTGGTACTGAAGGTGTAGAGGTTCTAGACCAGGGGTGCTCACACTTTTTCGCCTTATGAGCTACTTTTCAAATGACCAAGTCAAAATGATCAACCTACACTAAAAATACTACACACACACACACACACACACAAATATACACACACACACACACACACACACACACACACCATGGTCTTTAACTACAAAATCCCAAATCCTGGGGCAAATCCTGAAAATGAGCACGTCATCATCCACATTTCCCTTCTTCGGAATATTGGTGGTAGATTGGTAGATCAAGCAAACGCACTTCGAATATAACGTTGCGAAAAAAAGTCCTCCTCCCATTCCGTATGGAATGTTTTCAGTACGTTTTCGGTTTCTTACTTGATTCGGCTCCCCTACTCATTTTATACCCTTTAGTAGAAATTTACTTGAAGGCTGACAAGGTAGTTTGCTCACTGGAGTTTTGCAGTAGCTTGTGCGGTTGACTGTGCATGCTTGGTGACTTGTGTGTCAGAAAAGACAAGATTTTAGACTGGCTGCCCTGCATGTCAATCAAGTAGCAAACGTCATAGGGAGGATGGATGATAGGCTATATATGAATGATTGTCACCTTTGGCTTCTCCCGTTAGGGGTCGCCACAGCGAATCATCACACTGACCATTCGCATGTTAACATTTGGCACGTGTTTTACGCTGGATACATCTAATTTATTTTTGAATGGCACCGATTTACCAACACTACCTTTGCGATCGACTGGTTGATCATGATCGACGTATTGGGCACCCCTGTTGTAGTGGGTTTAAAGAGGGTGGGAATTGAAATGATGCAGCTCAAGTCTGGTCCTGCTCCTGAACTTAAGATATTTACATTATCACCCTTAAAGATACATACTGTCAGATTTGATTTTGTTTGATTTTGATTTGATTTGATTTGATTTGATTTATTCTTTCAAACGGGGGCAGCACGGTGGCGCAGTGGTTAGCACCGTTGCCTCACAGCGAGAAGGTTCTGGGTTCGGGCCCCACCCGGGACCTTTCTGTGTGGAGTTTGCATGTTCTCCCCGTGCTTGCGTTGCTTGCGTGGGTTCTCTCCGGGTACTCCGGCTTCCTCCCACAGTCCAAAGACATGCAGCTTAGGTTGATTGGTGTCTCTAAATTGCCCATAGGAGTGTGCGTGTGTGTGGTTGTTTGTCTATGTGTTAGCCCTGTGATGGATTGGCGACCTGTCCAGGGTGTACCCCACCTTCGCCCGATTGCCGGCTGGGATTGGCTCCGGCCCCCCCCGTGACCCCGTTCAGGGATTAAGCGGTAGAAAATGAATGAATGAATGAATGTA